AAAAAAAAAAAAAAAATAGACTCTTGTGAGTGTCATTGACCCAGTATCCAGGATGGATGGGCAGATGAGAGAGGAATGGAAGAAACAGGATGGGGAGGGAGGGTGTATTGAATAGTGATGGACTTTGAAAAGGGTGGAAATGTGATAATCTGGGATCACATTTTATGGAGAAAATACCACTTGCACACAAAAGGCACAGTTAGAAGACAGATTCTCTGTGATCAGCTTCATTAACTCACTATTTTATGGTATGAATGATTTAGCCTTTCTTTCCTTTTCCTGTTCTAGACTTACAGCTCTCTGGTTTGAACAGCCCAGGATCCTGCTTGGAGAAAAAGGAGGAGGAAGAAGAGTTGGAAAAGGAGGAAGAGTTGGAAAAGGAGGAAGTAGAGAAAACAGTAAGATTAGCTTTAATTTCAGTTTTTATTTTTATAGAGATGGAGTTTTGCCAGGTTGCCCAGGCTGATCTCAAACTCCTGGGCTTAAGCAGTCCTCCCACCTCAGCCTTCCAAAGTGCTGGGATTACAGGCATGAGCCACCACACTTAACCAAGATTAGCTTTAAAAATTGTTTAGATGGTTGGGCATGATGGCTCACTCCTGTAATCCCAGCACTTTGGGAGGCCAAGATAGGCGGATCACGAGGTCAGGAGATGGAGACCATCCTGGCTAACATGGTGAAACCCCATCTACTGAAAATACAAAAAATTAGCCGGGCGTGGTGGTGGGCACCTGTAGTCCCAGCTACTCAGGAGGCTGAGGCAGGAGAATCGCTTGAACCCGGGAGGTGGAGCTTGCAGTGAGCTGAGACCACGCCACTGGACTCCAGCCTGGGCGACAGAGCGAGACTCCCTCTCAAAAAAAAAAAGAAAAGAAAAATTGTTTAGACAAGGATCTTGGGGGTTTCCTTTTAGGAGCTTTCTGTAACGATCTCGTTAGCATGGACTTATATTTACTAAGGAGCTATCCTGCTTCTGCCTTGAGGGAGCCCCAATTGTCGGATATTTGGGGGTTTCTAGGTCTCTTCTTTCTTTCTTCTCTAATTTCCCACATCTCTAGGAACTTCTTTCTTGAGTATAATCTCAGTTCCTACTGTATTTATTTGACTTTTCGGGGAGCAATTCAGAGAATAGCAGTTGTTTCTTTCTACTCCTTTCTCCCCTACATGGACCTGGAGGATTTTCATTCACTTGTTTTCTTAGCATCTGTTTTCCAGGTATAGGAAGTATATATTTTCACTTTTTCTTCTAATTTTTTATTTAGCAATTTTTATCATACTGGTGGCCTAGCTTTATTTCCTTCTTTTATGCCTAAAGCCTTGCATTGATGAATACCAACAGACTGGGAAAGTGACTACACATTTTTCTCTGTGTTGCCATAAATTTAAACAATATCAGGCTCACAGAAGCTACTTTGATTCCCCAAAGCCCACCTGTCATTGTGTAGCATCCTTCTGTATTAAAAACAGCTAGGGGCCTTAATTTATCATTTTTTTTAAACTTTCTCTCCCATCCTCAGGACCCAACTTTGCCTATTTGTAAGCAAGTCAAAATACAGACCCAAAAAACCAAGCCAAGAGGTAAGCAGGCCAGCTGGAAATGGGGCACATCCCACAGTTAAGGCAGGGAAGTGGTAGAGAGGGAGTCTGCAGGTAGGTGGACCTCACTGCCCGTCTCCGTGCCAGGACCTGAGAAAACAGGCAACACTTACCCATAGTGTCAGTGGGGAGCTGGAGCCCCCTTGCTTCTCTGTAGTGAATTATAAAATCTGAGATGAAAGATAGAAGGTTTTACGTTCTTAGCCAAGAAGGATGGCTTCCTGGAGAAGGTAGACTCTGAGGAGAACTGTAAAGAGAAGAAGATCCAGGGGGTAAAAGAAAAAGAGAATTGGGGAAAAAAGATGTTGAAAAAGAGCCAGAGGCCACCAGGAGAACTCACTAGATTGAGACTGAGCAGAAGATGTGGGGCAGGGCAGAGACTCAATGTGCAGCGTCCATCTGCCCTTGCTGAGTTGTCATTTAGAGATAAATAAGCACATTTCCCTCATGACTGGGACTTGGAGGTGGTGCAGGCACAGCAGATGGCCAAGGCAGGACACTGCAGAGGAAGATAATGAAGAGATCTCTGGGCAGGAAATCCACAGTTCCTCCTGCACTCAGAATGGGAAAGAAAGAAGGCCAAGGGAATTCAGATTCTGACCAGCCAGGTAAGGCTCAAGACCTCAGAAAAACTAAGGGGAATGAGGTGCCTGTCGGGATCTCCCCTCCCTGAATCATTTCTTAACCATTTTACAGCTTTTCATTACTTTACAGAATGAATGAAAATTAGAATGAAAGAGCATGTCAGACTGCACCCAGCACACACTATAGAAACAGAATGATTCCTGATTTGATTTAGCCCAGGGGCAGGAGAGTGGTAGAAGAGAAGTAACACTTACTCAGTATTGCCAAGGTCTGGCTAAAGAGATACTTCCATGCCTGCTCCTTTAAATTTTTTTCAATAGCTCTCTCACTGGATATTCCCATTTTAGATATCAGAAAACTGAGGCTCAAAGGATTTAAAAATTGCTCAAGGCTGGTGACTAGCATAGGGCGGACGGCTTGACTCTCTTTCTGATCCCAAAGTCCATATTCTTTGTATTGAGAAAGGTCATCTTTTCCAGAGATTTTTTGGAAATAGAGATTTAGGAGTTTGACTTATAAACGGTAAAGACAGGCTGACCTAATAGGACTCTCGGCTTTGTCACCTTCTCATTTAGGCCCTAAGAAAAAATTTAAAGCTCCCCAGAGCAAGGCCTTGGCAGCCAGCTTTTCAGAGGGAGAAGTTACAACAGTGCCAAAGGACCTGGGCCTATCAGCATGTAAAGGGGCCTGCCCCTCAGCTGCAAAAGAAGAGCCAAGACCCCGGGAACCCCTGACCCAGGAGGCTGGACGTGTTCCCCTTGAGGACGAAGCCTCCAGTGATCTGGACCTGGAGCAACTCATGGAAGATGTTGGGAGAGAGCTGGGGCAGAGCGGGGAGCTGCAGCACAGTGACAGTGATGGCGAGGACATCCCCCTGGCGCTGTTTGGGAAGTAGCTGGTGCTCCTGCGCTCCCTTCTTTTCTCTCTTCTCTGGGGCGCAGGAGGGAGAAGTGGCTAAGTGCTGGGGCTGTTCATTGGCTACCAGGTTCAAGTGTGTGTTGTGCTGTTTCTTTGTTAATAAAGCAGGTTGCCGGTCGACTGGCTTGGCTGGTCTCTAACTGCCCCCTGTTGGCTGCTCGCCCTCTTTGGTGTCACCGTGGTACGTCACTGCTTCTGGCGGGAGCCTGCACAGTGCAGGCATCTGGGGAAGGCAGTGAGACCTGAGTCCTGAGAGGACATCAAGAAGGGCAGATCTGGATTCAAATCCGGGCTCAGCTCCTCACTAGCTACCTCCGTGGCCTGGGAAAAAGCATGTTCACCATCCTGGTTCTGCTCTTCATCTTCCAGCGGGTGCATCCTCTACCTTATAAGGTTGTGAATGATGTCAAATGAGGTGATGCTCTCGTTGTCACCATAGGGAAGACTGATCAGATTTGAGGGCAGGCTTTGGGTTTGGGCAGGCTACCAAGGTTTGGGGACTCATGTTCCCTGGCCCAAGGAAGTCACTAAGAAAAATACTAGAGGAAGGGTCTTGGGTGTGAGTTCTCTGTTAGAGTTCATTTTCACTGGGAGGGACAGGAGTTGAAGGTGATGTCAGTTTTCTCCTTACACACATTCAAGTAAATTTTGGGGGTACTTTTAGTTTTACGGGCCAGGGCTGGGAAGGTGAAGAGAGAGTTGGAGTAGATGGCTCTGTTTTTGTCAGTTCTTTGGCTGGCCTCTGAGTCATCTGTATGGCCTTGGTTATTGTTGGAAGCTGTGGCCCTTCCTATTGGAAGCGTAGTGTACTCTAAGAAGGTCACTGTGCAGTCTTTTTTAACTTGTTTTAATGGATTCAGATTTTTAAAAATAGTTTTGAAGATAATCTTTTTAAATTTGTTACTTTATTGTTAATACACATTTTTAACTAGCAATGGCATCTCGCTCCATTATCAAAGCTGGCGCTGAACTCCTGGGCTTACTCTGTTCTGCCTCAGGCTTCAGAGTAAAGTAGCTGGGATTACAGGCCTGCGCCACTGTGCCTGGCCTCACCGTTCGGTCTTGAGAGGGCTGTCCATTGGTTAGGCCTTTAAGACAGAGTACAGAGTCTCGTTCTGGGGGCTCTTGAGGGGATGGTGGCTGGGAGGTACTCTGGGTGAGGTGGAGCTGGAGAGGGCAAGGGAGGCATAGACGATGCCGTCGTCCTGGGTGAGAACCCAGAGAGAAAGGGTTAGACAGTGGAGATGGAGCTGTCCCCATCTTAGTGGCAAGCCTACAATCTGACTCTCCTGCTCATACCACACTCCCCCTCTCCCTTCCACCCCACCTTCTCCAGGCTTTCTAATTCCTTCTGGCCCTGGTCTGACTGCTTACCTTGGGATTTGGCTTGGGATCTGTGTTTTGTCCTAGGAATAAAAAGCCAGGTGTGCCAAGGTCAGGTGGTATGACAACTAGGGGAGAGAGATGGGCAGGGGGCTCTAGGAGTGAGGTTATCTGCCAGGTCAGGACCAGGGTCACGTGGGGGCAAGGGGCAAGGAATGGAAAGAAGAAAACACTGAGAGGGGCACGGACCCAGGTAATGGGTGTTTGGGGAAACAGGAAGGGCCAGGGGTAGAAAAATGGGGAAGGATGGTTGTAAGGACTCACCTTCATTCCTGATATTCTCATATGGCTCCTCTGTGTTTTGGAAGGGTTCCCTGTATGGGAACAAGAGGATAGGAAATATGTTAGAGGCTGGGCATTTAAGACATGGGCTGGGGCCGGGCTCAGTGGTTCAAGCCTGTAATCCCAGCACTTTGGGAGGCTGAGACGGGTGGATCACGAGGCCAGGAGATCGAGACCATCCTGGCTAACATGGTGAAACCCCGTCTCTACTAAAAAAAATACAAAAAAACTAGCCAGGCGTGGTGGCAGCGACTGTAGTCCCAGCTACTCGGGAGGCTGAGGCAGGAGAATGGCGTGAACCTGGGAGGCAGAGCTTGCAGTAAGCTGAGATCCGGCCACTGGACTCCAGCCTGGGCGACAGAGCGAGACTCCATCTCAAAAAAAAAAAAAAGACATGGGCTGGGTGGTGGCACCTGTAATCCCAGCACTTTGGGAGACTGAGGCAGGTGGCCATTGCTTGAGCCCAGGAGTACAAGACCAGCCTGGGCAACATAGCGAGACCCCGTCTTTATAATAAATACAAAAACTAGCCGACGTAGTAGTGTGCGCCTATGGTCCAGGCTACTCAGGAGGCTGAGGTGGGAGGATCGCTTGAGCCCAGGAGCTCAAGGCTGTGAGCTGTGATTGCGCCACTGCACTCCAGCCTGGGTGACAGAGTGATACCCTCTCTCAAAAATTTAAAAAAAGAAAAAAAGAAAAAAGAATTATGACACGTGTTAGGGGCTGGTTCTCTTTGGGGAGTGCTCTGCAACCTGTCCACCCTGCTCAGGATGGGTGTGATGGTTTTAGACTCAGAGGAGGCTGCTTGGAAGAGGAATTAGGGGCAATTTGTGTGTGGCCCAGCAGAGGTCCATCGGTGCTCAGTGAGTTGGGTTATTCTAGGGAAGCTGCTTGTATGAGAGGAACACAGAGAAGAAAAATTGGAAAGGTCAATCCTTGCTTTCTCTCTGCTGGTGCTGCCTTGGCTAAAACTGGGAGAAGCAAACCAATTGTGTGAATTTCAGGTCTTCTGATCAGGGGCTCAGGCTGGGTGAATGGATGGAGAAGGAACCTGGTGAGGGACAGGAGAAGGGCAGCTGACAAAAGCCAGCACAGGAGAAAGGGCAGGGGTGATGCTTTCTTCCAACAGGAGACCTACGGCCATGGAAAGGAGAGGCCAGAGGAAAGGAAAGAGAGGCAGGAGGGTGGAGAGGAAAAGCCCAGAAAAAGGAAAAGTGAGGCCCTAGCCTGGAGAGGGGAGCAAGGCAGAGGCTGGTGAGTCCCTCCTGAGTACACACAGGTGGGGAGAGGAGCTGGAGGCAGAGGAAGCCTGGGGCCCCCACCGCACATTCAGCAGGGGAACGGGACAGATTGAACGAGAGCAGATGATATGAAAAAGCTGGAAGATCCAGGCTGAGAGGAAGCAGGTGAAGAGCAGGAAAAGCTTAGTAACACCAGGAAAGGCAGGCAGAGGGCACAGATGGGCACTCCAGAAAAGAGACTCTAAGTGTTCGTGCTGGAACCCGGAGTCCACTAGTCTAGTATTTAGGGGACAGAAAGCCTGAGGTCAAGAGCCTGGCCCCTAGAGGACAAAGGAGGACGAGGATGGGTAAGTTGGGGATGCAACAATGGCTGTGGCAGGCTGGGTTTGTGGGGTTCTTAGCAGCATACTCCCTGTTTCCCAAACCAGGCCACTGCCTGCACATGGACCTCCCCACCGCCCTGGGGAGGCCCAGTACTCACTTGGCTGGGGTTGTGGCTTTAGTCCGCTGCTGACCTGTAGGGGGACCGACAGTGAGTCAGGGTGGCATCCGGGTGATGGCAGTCTCCATCCCACCTTCTGTGCTGTGCCCTAGGCTGAGGCCCTCCTTAGAGGGACCAGCTGCTCCACCCAAACGCATCAGGAAGGGCCTGGGACTCAGCCGGCACCCTGAGGTCCCCACCTGTCCTCCCTGTTGTCCTCCACATCACCTCCTGAGACCCCCTCACCCTGACCCCCTCCCTTGGTTTCTTTCTTTCTTGAGCTCTCTGCTCAGTCCCAACCTGGCTCCCTCCACCACTGAGCCCTTGCCCAGCCACTTCTCCCCTCCCCTCCCCTTGACATTGGCACCCTGCCCCCACTCCCTCCAGGTCCTCAGGGAGACCACACCTGTGCTTTTCTTCTAGGTGGCGTCTAGGTCTGCCCTCCAGGCTTGGGAGCCTCGTGCTTGGGACTCATGTTTGTGGCTGTTGAAGTTCTGTTGCCACCGCTAGGCCTCCTCTGACTGGTCCCACCCTGAATCCTCTGCTGCCTCTCCCACTGTACCCTGCCCATCCTGTCCTCCTGGCATCCTTGCAGTGTTTCCCAAGCACTGGGCTCCTGGTTCACAGACATCCCCTCCACCATCCAACCTCTTCCCAGAAGGGCTCCACGTCTACAGAGACACCCTCTGAACCCAGGCCTCGAGGTACCTCTCAACTCCAGGGACTTCCCCTTCCACTTCTACAGGACTTTTTTTTTTTTTATGTTGAGACTGGGAACTCTGAAATATTAATTGCTAGTATCATTTCCATTCTGCAACTTTCCCTCCTTCCAGCACTCTTCTGTCCCTCTGTTTTTCCCCTCTCTTTGAAACTTAAACAGGTTATATTTTATTTTACTTATGGTAAAAAAAAAAAAAAAAATGCTAGAATTCACTTTTAACCACGTGTACAGTTCAGTAGTGTTAAGTATATTCACACTGTTATGAAACATCTCCAGAACCTTTTTATCTTGCAAAACTGAAACTATTTTAAAGAATCCCCACTCCCTCCTCCCTGCAGCTTCTGACGGCCACCATTCTACTTTCTGTTCCTATTAATTTCCTATCTCTAGGTACCACCGAAAAGCAGAATCATACAATAGTTGTCATTTTGTAACTGCCTTATTTCACCTAGCCTAATGTCTTCCAGGTTCGTTTATACTGTAGTATGTGTCAGAATTTCTTTCTTTTTCTTTTTTCCTTTTTTTTTTTTTTTTTTTTTGAGACGGAGTTTTGCTCTTGTCACCCAGGCTGGAGTTCTGTGGTGTGATCTAGGCTCACTGTAACCTCTACCTCTTGGGTTCAAGCGATTCTCCTGCCTGAAGCTCCCACGTAGCTGAGATTACAGACGTCCACCACCAGGCCTAGCTAATTTTGTATTTTTAGTAGAGACAGGGTTTCACCATGTTGGTCACGCTGGTCTCAAACTCCTGACCTCAGGTAATCCACCCACCTCAGCCTCCCAAAGTGCTGGGATTACAGGTGTAAGCCACTGCACCTGGCCCAGAATTTCTTTTAAAGACTGAATAATATTCTATTATATGTATAAACCACATTTTGTTCATTCATTCGTTGATGGACATCTGGGTTGCTTCCACCTCTTGGCCATTGAAAATAGTATTGCTGTCAACATGGGTGTATAAATATTTCTTCAAGACCTTTCTTTTCAGTTCTTTTGGGCATGTACCCAAAAGTGGGATTGCTGGATCATATGGTGGCCTTATTTATTTATTTATTTATTTTGAGATGAAGTCTCGCTCTGTCACCCAGGCTGGAGTGCAGTGGCACAATCTCAGCTCACTGCAACCTCTGCCTCCTGGGTTCAAACGATTCTCCTGCCTCAGCCTCCCGAGTAGCTGGGATTACAGGTGCCCGCCATCACACCTAGCTAATTTTGTATTTTTAGTAGAGATGGTGTTTCACCATGTTGGCCAGGCTGGTCTCGAACTCCTGGCCTCAGGTGATCCGCCTGCCTCAGCCTCCTAAGGTGCTGGAATTTGAGGAGTGAGCCACCACTCCTGGCCTTTATTTTTAAATTTTTGAGGAAAGGCCATGCTTTTTTCTATATCATTTGCACTATGTTATACCCCCATCAACAGTGCAGAAGGACCCCAATTTCTTCACATTCTTCCCAACGCTTGTCATTTACACACTTATTTATTTTTAATAGTAGCTATCCTTCTGGGTATAAGGAGATAGCTCTCTGTGGTTTTGATTTGCATTTCTCTGATGATTAGTTGGCCATTTTCATCTGCTTGTTGGCGATTTGTGTACTGTCTTAGTCTATTTTGTGCTGCTAATATATTTTTATTTATTTATTTATTTTTAAGACGGAGTCTCACTCTGCCGCCCAGGCTGGAGTGCAGTGG